TCTCTGATTGGATTGTTACATTTGTGATTGACATGACATTGACCAATCAGATGAAAGGAAGAAAAATAGGGTCAAAATTCGTACTTGTAACTTGCAGGGTTTTTTTGGCTGAGTCCACACACAAATCTTTTTACAAGTACAAAATATTTATGACCACATTTTGAGCCCATACTACTTCCCTCTAATGTCCGAGTCTCTGTGCGCTCGGTGTAACAGCCTTATCGAGCAAAGAGTTCATTTATTCCACAGGTCAATGTTTGACTTTAACTAGACTGCAAGCATGAATTTTACATGAATAAAAATTCCCGTTACCACTGATTAAAGAGGTTATAAATCCATCTTTATTTAAATTACATGAGATTAACAAGAAATTTAGGACACAGTTGATGTTATAATCAACGCGGGTGACTGAGACTGATGATCACTAATAAACAGTGTGAACACTGCGTGGATATGATCAGCAACAATCCACATGCCTGGCTTTAATTTCCTGTTCAGGAGGAGACGTTAGCGACCGTCCGTCACAGCGAGCCTTGTGCTGTGCAGCAGATATGACACAAGTTTAAAAATCCTGTAAACTCAAAGCAAACACGTGAAATGATGAAGAAATATTTACAAATGACAAACTCAAATATTAATGTTAAATGCACACAGGCAGGAAAAAAGACGCCAAGTGCCTCTGAGAGTGAGGAAACTGACGTATACAAAGGTTATATTTCACTGAAACAGAAGAATAAATAGACGTTTGTTCTGAAGATTTTTGAGGTGAGATTAAAAGTAGTAAAATCATGTCCACACACACCTTTGTGAAAATATATAACAGCATAAACGGAAACATTACAGCTTAGACACAATAATAGTATCACAGAGTTATTTCAGCACACACAGCATTGTGTAGTCCAACCCACACTACACTGATGTGCTGCAGATTTAAGCCAACTAATGTCCTTATAGCTCATTAGAGCCATACCCAGGCTAAATTAATAATAATAATAATAATGTGGAATTAAAAAGCCTTTAAGACTCACTGAGCAGCAAACCT